GTAGACACGGACTAAGTTATTTTGTAATAGCGCTAGTTATTTTGAAATAGAGTTGCAGTGTAGACATAACCTGACTGTGGTCTATTCTTAATTTTGTTGAACTGTCTCATTCCTTACAGAAGTTGGATCTCCTAGGACTTCCTGATTTACCTATAAATGAAACTATTTTTCCTTTTTGTAAAGAAAGGGAGCTCATATGCTAAGGGATCTTTCCTCTTGAGGGAGGCACTGTCTTCAAAAGTGAACAAATCAGGCACATTTCTGCAAGGGTCTTAATAAGGATTAACAATACATTATATATTTATTAAAAGCTTGTGGATAACTAGAAGATGAAGTAAAAGGGAATTTGGAGGAGAGAAGATGTGGTCTAAAACATGAGATTTGCTCAGTTCTCTGCCATCTCTATGAAGTTGCTAGGAATCCAACTGAAAAATTTTAGTCAACTGCATGTAACCCTAACCAGATTGGCTAATTTTTCTCTCGTAATCAGATGATTGTTTGAGTAGTTGCATTTAATAAAAAACATGGAGGCAAACCTCTGCTAATGTCATCAGGCTCCTTATTTTTTTTACTGAATTTCATAAAGAGGTCACCACATTAAATAGTGATGATTTTCCTTATATGACAACAATTATGTTGTTGGAAGGATAATTTTCAAACTCTGATTGTGATTTTCCAAGTACACTAGGAGATTTGATTCTCCTTGCGTTCCCATGCAGGAAGATAAGCAATTGCTTGGGGGAGGATAAAGCAAGATGCTTCTATCTTTTGCTGAGAGACTTAAATACAGGTTTATAAAAGAGACATATAAACTGACTAGAAGCTGTGATGAGAAACTATGTGACTACAAAATAACTTGGACCTAACCTTTTTTAGCAGTAGGCAAAAAGCAAACTAATATACTGGTAAGAAAAGAAAAAATATCTTTCTAATTCAAAAGATTATATTTGTCCTATGAGATCTTGAGAAGTATAATAATGAATACAGGAGAACTGACTTTTAAATATGGTTCAAGGGAGCACCTTGCTTTGATAATTATGCCAGAATGTTCAATTCAGGTGAGCCAATGTAAATGTGAGAATTCCAAATCAACTGGGTTTGCAGATGCAAAACCTCCATATTATCAAGATAGACTGAGTTCTTCTAGGAGTTCTCATGCATAGTGAAATTAGTCAAATTATTCATGATTCCAATTGGCTCTTTCATAAGCTGTAATATTATTTACCTGGTACTGTATGGTACTTAGATGAGAATTATGAGAACATCAGAGAAGTCATTTCCTATCTGATCCCTTCAACCAAATGACTCCTGATAAGGATAAACTTGGGAAAAGTACATCAAGCTTCTATCTGAAATGGGGATTCTCTTTTGGAAAATAAGATTTGATCCATATATCATAGCTGAATGATCAAAACACGCCATAATAATTAAAATCCAATTCCACAGTATCAGCTTGAAATACAGGTAAATAAGCTGTCTCATCAAGATTCCTGTTTTGTTGTCTGTTCCACTTTTATTCCTTTACATACCTCATTTTTTTCCTCTTTGACATCTAAATTAATAACTACTCAAAATCAAGACAAAATATCTTTGTCTCTATGTTTCATCCTCTATTACATAGCTCTTTTAGGCTCAATATGCAAAATGTACCATTGTTTCAATGTGGAAACCTACCAGTAACATTAATTTAAATGTTCTATCAAACTGAGTTACTAATGCATGAAATACAGGCATAGTTTTACATTATTTAAGAATGTTGTTGTGTTTACATCTATTTTCCCTATATGTGAGCAGGTCTTGACTTACACTAAAACTTGCCTATGGAATATCTGGGGTTATAAGGACTCAGTCTGCACTAACAGAGTCCTTGCTATTCACAATGCTTCCATCGGGTGTAGCTATGATATTAGATAGGTTTGTATTGCAACCCACTGCATGCAGATACTGTAGAAAGAAATGCCAAAAGTAAGGGCTCTGTACATGTTTCTTTGCCCCTAATGTGATACAGCACAAATCTATCCTATGCCATGTTTCATACAGATTATCTACATCAGCTGGATCAGAAAAACTGTCAGTAAATACCTAAAGGAGAGAAGTCCATACAATGGAATATTACAGCTTGTATTAGAAGCTACACGCTCATGCACAGAGGTGATTTTACCATAATATATATGATCACACCATTCAATTACTATAGAGAGTAACTATAAAGTTAACTCCCTTTCAATTAGAACATTGTTTGTCTTCCAGGAAACATGAAATGTATAAGAAAGAGTTTAATGATAGTAAACGTCTCAAAACAAGAAAACTAATTAGAAAACTCCACTGATCCTGCAAAGTTTTCTTGCTTTCACATAATCTGAATAGTCCCAGAAACCATGGTGGAGCTACTCATATTCTGTAATTCTTTGCAGAACTGGGAATTAAGAAACAGAGTTGCTAAGCACTCAGGCTAAAGGGGAGTGACTATGAGAGTGATTTCTAACCTGCACAACTGATAATGATACTGACAATAATCTAAGATTCTGACAGCTGTGCCTAATTTGCATAAACAAATTTGCATATTTATTGTTAATATTTGTGTGGCAGCGGACACTAGGAGGTACTGTCACAGTTCTTTTTCTCACTATGCTAGCACTGCTCAGTATTTGAAGAAATCCTGCACTGTTGCTGATTTTGAGAGGTAGAGCTTTTTTTTATGGTTGCTGCAAGAGCCAGCTTTGGGGGACAGAGTTGTTCCTGAGATAAGAGCAGTAGGGTTTGACTGAGATTTCTGAAGGAAGGGATTGCCTGAATGCTGTTTGTGACCACCTCTGTTCAAATATATATATATTAAAAAAAACCCTAACATTCCATTTCACTGGTTTCTCTCAATAGGAAACTGACTGACCAGGGCCTATAATGGGATATCACTTGAAAAGAAAGAAATGACATGTAAATGTAGCCCTTGAAGATTACAGAATATTGTGACTCATTTTGATCTAAGCAGAGGCCATATTGACCACGATGCATCATTCCATAGTAAGACATACAGTTTTTGCTCACTCTAATTTTTCACTAGAAATAAGGGTGGCTGCCAATTAAACCGTATAACTGTAGGCTTAATTAGGCCTTTCAGATGCATTTTGACCATGTCTGCAATATGGTCATTCTGGCTCTGAAGAAAAGAATGTATGAATGATGTATCTGACAGTGCTAGGATGAAAATAATTAATACATAGCTTAATGTCATCATCTTTCATATATATATTGTGTATATTCACATGTGCATATATAACCCACGCACATATTATTTCTAATTTGACTATATTCCTTGGCAAATACATCTAAGCGAATTAAGCAAATTTAAACCGTAACAATTTATACCTTTGCAGGCTAGTAATGAATGAGTAGTTATTTAAAATATCCACTGCTGAATGGTTAACCACCTACTATCTACCTTCAGCTCAGTTTCTTTTTCCTCATTGTCATCATCTTCATGATCATTAATATTCTTAATTTATCAACAGCAAATATTCATCCTCTAAGGCAAATCTGAAGTCAGTATCTTTTTTGTACCTAACCTCATAACTTTTTGAATAGGACAGGAACTAGAAAACCCAGAAAAAAAATATATCCAGGGAAGCACCATCCAGGAGCAAGCGTTGCTGGAAAAGCAGCTTTAAGAACGCTTAAATCATCCCTGATTCTACCTGCTTTCAGGGATGCATGGTCACTTGCTCCCCCATCATCCACTCCCCCTCTCCCACCCTTGAGAGCTGAGAAGAGGAAGGCAATCTAGAGCTATGTATCTGCCAGCCTTAAGTGGCTTCTGCAGTGGTGGAATTCTCATGAGAACACTATCACTCCTTTATTTCCCCTATGTGCTGCCAGAGATACACATAAGGCCAGTGTCAGAGCCAGATGAGTGGCATGTACATGCTACTGCAAATATACAATGATGCTAAATGTTCTGCACCAAACAGAAAATGATGAGATTTAATTGAGGCACTGCAAGCACAAAAGGTAAGTACAAAGATCATATGTTATGTAGATACCTGAGAGTTACTAGGAAGACAGTGATGACCTGAAGTATAGGCAACTTAAAATAAATTAATCTAAAGTAGCTACAGATGTTACAAATACTCTTGAGATCCTCTCCCATTTGTTGTATTCCTAGGTTTTTGTCTCTCCTCTTGTGGTAAGAAAGACTCACGCAAACAACAGGAGAAATTAACAAGGGGGAAACTGACTCTTCACAAAGATTGAAATCCTGCCCCTCTGAACTCAATGGGGGTTTTCCCATTGATTGCTGTAAAGTTAGGATTTCACCCAAGCATCAAACTTGGAAAATGAAACAAACTAGGGACAAGAACAAGTCAGATATGGAAGTGTGATATTTAGATATTCTGGAATGTATTAACAGAGAGTTGTTTGTAAGACAAAGAAGGTGGTTATTTTGTTCTACCTGGTTCTGGTGAGGCCTCTGCTGCAGTGCTGTGTCCAACTGCAGGCAGCTCAACTTAAGAAATAGGTGGGCAAACTGGACAGCTTCCGGAAGAGAACATCAAAAATGCTAAGAGGTTTAGAAATATCCATCACTTTAATCTCAGGAACCACAGAAATATCAGTTCAGTCTTTATTGATCTTTTTTTTTTTAAAAAAAAACTATGTTACCACACCACTACTCTTTGGCTATCTGGATTTTGCTCCAACTAAGAAATTCAAACAAAATCCATACAATGGAAATGAAACATTTATCCAGTAAAAATGATTGCAGTGGTTATTTAAATTTCTTCTTGTCACACATAAATGCTTATTGTCAAATTAGTGAGGACTGGAGGGTAACAAGCAAAAACAAAACAAATAGTGATCGCTGCTCATAATATGTGTATGCTTAGATGAGAAGATATAACAGCAAACCTATAATATTGCAACTCTGCATTCCTATCATCTTAATAAGCTAACATGCCTCAGAAATGTGTATGTTATTTTAGTAAAGAAGTAATAGGAACACTTACCTGGTACACCAGGTGGAGTTTTTAGATATTTGCCATTAAAATGTTGAATTACTACTTCACATTTTTCTGTAGACTCCATTCTGGAAAAGAAAATGGGGAAGAGGAAGCAATTATTATTAGAGTGTTATAAAAATGTGCAGTCAGCAAAGGAAGCACCTGACATAGATGTTGAGAGAAATCTCAAAAGCTGCTCTTGGCTGAATTCTGCAGAGATGCAGGCAAAATAGTTCATTACAATATAGTGTTCGCTAGCAAGGAGAACTTGCCATTTGTAAACATTGCAGCTCTTTTCCTCGCTGCATTCAAGTGGGAACCGTGGCGGTGAACAGTTTGCTTTTGAGTTTTAGGGCGCATCCCAAACAAGGACATGTCAAGCGCTTCTCGCAAAAACTCAGGACCTCATTCCAAATTTCTGATACCTCCAAATGCCCTGAAGGATGTGCAAGTGATATAAGATCTAAGATACATCTGAAGGGGAATAAAATTACAATAATTCAGGATTATAAAGTGGGTACAAACCATATAAAAAACAGTAAAAAATAGTTATCAATGGTTTGCTGCCAAATGGGGAGGAAGAATCTACTGGGTCTGTTATGTATCTGGCACTATTCAATATTTTTATTAGTGACTTGGATAATGTGTTGGGGAACATGCTTACAAAATCTGCAAATGGCATTAAGCTGGGATGGGTTGCAAGTAATTCGGGGAACAGAATTGAAATTCAAAATGATCTGGATAAATTGTAGAAGTGATCTAAAATCAACAAGAAAAAAATTTAAAAAATTGAATGCATGATTACAAAATGAGAACTAAGTGGCTATGCCACAGTATAGCAGAAAAGGATTTTGAGGTTATAGTGGCTCACAAATTGAATCTAAGCCAACAATTGCAGGCAGTTGGAGGGTGGGGGGAAGGTAATATTGTGAGGTGTCCTAACAGGAACGTTGTGTCTCAGACACAGAAGGTAACTGTTCCATTCTCCTCAGCACTGCTGAGAACTCAATTGGAACACTGTGTCGAGTTTTAGGAACCTCACTTTAGGAAGGATGTGGTCAAAGGGAAGAGAGTCCAAATGAAAGCAACAAAAATCATACAAGGTTTAGAAACCTGACCTATGAGAAAAGGTTAAAAAAGTTGGACATGTTCATTCATGAGAAAAGAAGACCAAATGGGAACTGATAAAAGTTTTCCAATATATTAAGGGCTGTTAAAAAGAATGGTGATCAATTGTTGTCAATATTTACTGAAGGTAGAACAAGCAACAATTGCCATAAGGGAGATTTAGTTTAGATACAGGGAGAAACTTTCTAACAATAAAGACACTTAAACACTGGAATAGACTTTAAAGGGAAGTTATGGAACCAGCCTCACTGGAAGAAGAGGAGGACAGATAACCTGCTGTCAGGGATAAACTAAGTATACAGGGAGTGGTGCCTCCGGATGGAGGCCTTGACTTGAGAACCTTTCATTAAGAACATTTCTATGATTCAATGATGATTATACAGAGTAAAGTAATATTGCAAAATTGAGTATAAAACAAAACCAACAGCTATTTGCAGTTGTATATTTCATGAGTCCAATCCCTGGACAGAGACAGACATTACTATATGTGACCTTGTCCTGGTGAAATGACTGATCATTCATCTGATATAATTATGAATCATAGTTCTAAGATGCCCATGACTCTACAGCAATAATAATAAATATGCCTCTATAGGACTGAAATGATTATATAATGGTATGATCGAAATCCTAAACCAAGAAGCCATTACACAGGACCTAAACTGACCACTCAGCAGGCTAATTGATCCTGAGAATAGTTGCCCAATGCTTGTGGGGAGGGCGCCTAGAGGGAAGCAGGGATGATGACTCATAACTAAACAGCAAAGACACTACAGATATTACATTGTGGATTTTTCCCCCCAGGAGAGCTGTCTTCAAAGATTATATTCAATACACATATTTAAATATTACTTCATTCTGAAAACTCAAGGTCCTTTTCTAAATGACTTCCTATATTACTCCTACCACAGAGTAGATAAGGGGGAAAGGATGACGTTCTGCAGAGCGTAAATATTCTCTAGAGCCTCAACCCAGCGCTTGGGTATGAGTTTGCCAAGACTTAGGAAAAAGAAACTGAGCAAGAGAATGAAATGATTAATAATCCAAGCAAGCAATACAATATATTTTGTTAGTTTGTTTTCGGTGAAACCATTAAAGCTGCCCCTTCTGAGGTCTTTTGCAGCTCAGTTTTTAAGGCCCTATCATGTGGAATGGGCTCTTTCCAGAAGCACAAAGACAGCAACTTAAATTGTTCACTTTCGCTTCATTCAGGTTTAACTAAGTGAATGTCTGCAGCAAGCCTTTAGAGACTCTTGTCTCTGAAAGTATAAATGCAAGAAAAGTCTGTTTTCTGTAGCTGCAGGCGCTTAGTGTCAAACCATGTTATGTTGCACCACACAGCAGTGACAATTTCATTTGAATACATGGGGCACGTTTTAACAAGCCAAAGCAGCCCCAGCAAAGAATGCAATAGAGGAGCTGCCAAGTGAAAGAGCCTCCGTGCACTCCATGCATTTTATGTGGGCAGGGAATAAAAGTGAAGCCCATGGTGCTCTGGGATAAAAGGGCCATCTCCTGAATAGCTGTCTTAGAAAGAATGCACCCATTTTCTTCTCAAGTTTCACAATTAACGGCTCTCAAATGCCAGCACTCGCTATCTGTAATCTGGCACACGCTTCACTTGAAACTGACACTAGCATTATCAACTTGGCCTGAAAAGGCAGCATAATAGACAAAGACGTCTTTACATGTCCCATTCATATGTGCTGCTGAATAACGACAACTGTGTGCATTATTCCTCCATGCTACCTGAATCCCTTGAGTTGTTCAGAATGGCTGTGTGTGGCAGGGAGACCTTCCCTCCAGAAGTGTTAATTAGACCTCTAGCCATCTAGTAACACTTGAGACATCTTTGTCATGTCTCCCACCTATAGCACAGAGGCATGAATTATAATTTTCAGATGTACATATGTAATATGTGGTGAAGAATCAATGTTATATTCGGTTTAGGAAACACATTTTTCCCATCTCTTCTGTGTGAGGTACTTAAGACTATAAAAAAACTGGAAAATAGATATGGCGGTAATATTATAACTATTTCGTTATGAGATCATATTTTCAATTGCTTACACTTTTGTCAAACTGTCACTATTTGGGCTGAAATATTTCATGACAGGCAGCAGGCAGGTTTTTTTTTTTAAGGGAAAATTTCAGCCAAACCAGTTTAGCTATTTCTGAGAACAAGATTAGGGGAAAATGCATTTTTTTTTTTTTGCCCACACTAAAAAAAAAATCTGCCTTTATTTGCATTGGGAAGATGTAGCATCCCCATGCCTTGGAGCAAGGGCTTGACATTTGACAAACAGTGCTTCCTCTGTCCTTGTGAAAATCTGCCCAAATCTGGCCAAGTTATAAGTATTTAGAAATCACATTACATATATGCTTCTTAGAAGACAGCAGCTAAATTTCTCCAAGATTCTGCTTGGATCAAGCATGGTGCAGCATGGGGCTAAGCCAGGGCTGGGCAAAATATGGCCCGGGGCCCAGATCCAGCCCACCAAGCCACCAGATCCAGCCCACAGACCACCCTGCCAGGACCCTCAGGCATGCAGCTGCATGGTTTAAAGCACAATCCATGTGCTCTCTGCTCTGCAGGGAGGGAGAAGCTTCATGTGATCTCCCCACCCCCAACCCAATCCTCGGCTTTGACTGACTGGCCAGAGACAACTGGCCCACAGGAACTGAGCCCAGCCAATCTCTCAGCTCTTATTGGCTAGAAACAACCAGCCAACAGGAGCTGAGAGATTGGCCTGGGGGATGGGAGCAGTGCAAATCTTTCCCCTCCCAGAGCTGAGTCATGTGGAGGGAGCAGCCTGCAGTTTCAAGTGGGGCTGCAGCAGTCAGGGAGCCCAGCCTGCCTTGGAGGGGCTGCAGGGTGACTAGGGCTGCTGCAGGGCTGTTGTGACCTAGGACTAGGGGTGCTGCAGGGCTGTTGGCTTAGGTAAGCGCCTCCCAGTCAGAACCTGCCTCTGGCACCCTTGCACCCCAACTCCCTCCCCCAGGTCACCATCCAAACGCTCTGCACACCCCTGCCCCAGGTCACAACACCCTCCCAGACCCTGTACCCCCTCTAACACTCCACGCCAGAATCCTCTCCTGCACCCAAACACCCTCCCATACCCTGAACCCCATTCTCCTGCCCCAAGTCACCACCCACATGCTCTGCAGTTTGCACCCCCTTTTCCCCTTCTCCCAGGTCACAGCTTCCTCCCAGACTTTGCACTCCCTCCTAAAGCCCCTCCCCCAGGCCAGAATCCTCTCTTGAATCCATAACCCCTCCTTAACCATACACTCCAATCCCCTGACCCAGGTCACAACCCCCTCCTTTGCCCAAACTCCCTCTCAGATCTCAAATCTCAGCCACCCCAGCTCCTTACCCTGAATGCCCTTCTGTGCCTAACCTCCATCCTACACCCTGCACTCCCTCCACAGAAAAGTGCAGCCCTTGACCACTTTCCAAAATCTTGGAGTGGCCCCTCACCAAAAAATATCTCCCACCCCTGGGCTAAGCAGGACTTTCCCTGCAATTGTAGTTTTGGGCAGCAGGCTTAGTCAGGGCTTTCTCCTGTGCTCTCAACGACACCACCCCCCATACTCCCATCCTTCCTGCTATGTTGAAGCACCAGGGCGGAAGACATTTTGTGATTTGAATGCATAAAGGACAAGAACTGGATCTGGGAGCCGCAAGGGAATAGACTGAGTGAAGATTGAAATCTTAGGGCATGTTTACACTATGGAAAAGATCCACCCTCTGGAGGTCGATTTTCTAGCTTCAATTTAGCAGGGCTAGTATAGAGCCACAATTCAAATGCTGAGGGCAGCCCCTACTGGTGCCCTGTATTTTTCATTCTGTGAGGAGTGAGGGAAGCTGATGGGAGTATGTGCTCCCATTAGCCTCTCACAGTGTAGACACTGCAGTGGCTCAGCTTAAGGAAAGCTGAATCCAGCTATGCAAATT